AATTCTACGAATTCTGAATTATTCGAATGATCAATTCTTCAATTTTCCAATCATCCGAGTTCTCAATTATCCTAATTTTAAACTATCCCAACTCTCAATTATCCGAATGCTCACTTCTCTCACTTCTTCAATTGTCCAAACTATCAATTATTCGATTTTTGAGTTATCCAGGAGAATTTAGAACGTTTACTACGGCGATATATTAGGTAGCCCCATAAGTTCCTTCCGTGTTTCTACCATACGAAATAATATTTTGTTAATTATACAATCTTTATAACTTCACAACCTGTTGACCTACTGATTAGGCTGAAGCAGATCAAACTCGTATCGTAATTAAAAAATATAATGCGAGAAGTGTTAACATTTCGCGACACGAACTTACAGGACAGGCTAATATATTCTCTCCTAACAAGGACGGTGTTAGAAATAATTCTGAATGACCTCGTATCACTCGTATTACACTATCAGCTGTTCGTGTTACTTCCATTTGATATCAGTTTCCTTATTGCAATTGCACCTAAGCAATTCCGAAGCTCCACTGACCGTTAGTCTACGTGTTAACACACTTCACAGACCGGAAGTATTCCAAGTTTACCGCGAAGAAATACCGTAACATAGATAACAAGCGGAAAGAAATTCTCAGAAGTGACCTGCAATAATACTTGACGTTTTCATCGTAAATATTACAACGATAACAGTGATAAAAACAAAAAATGACTTTAACAGTAAATAAAGTGCCATGTTTATATGACAGCGTTCGTTAAGGATTAATATTCTAGTAATATTAACACTAAACCGAGCAATTAAATTCACTTTTCGAAATTCCTCTTGCAACTTCAAGAGTGCACTCACCGAGACTTTAATTGATTGATAATTCAGTATATCTGTCACTAAATTAATATTTGATTGATCGCTTTGGAAAATGAAATTTGTCTATTGATAGAGCTGTTGATTATCTAAAAATATTTCTAATGAAATTCATACGATAATGATAGTTCGAAATATCGTCAATGGATATTTTAATAAATCTAATTTCTTCAGTATGAAGAATGTAATTTCTCATTCTAATCTAACACTAAACCTACCAAGCACATAAATTGACTTTTTGACCTGCCATCGAGACTTCAATTGATTCATAATTCAGTTTGAGTATTGCTAAATCAATTTCTTGAATAATCTCTTCGAGAAACATCTGTTATCCTTTTAATAATCGCAAAAGGAAACCAGGAATCATTTTGTCTGGTAAGTTTAGTGTTAATACTGTTAATCAATTACTAACCCTCGTTACTTCCCAACTCAGTCGTCGTGTAAATTATTCCTGTCACGTGCTCGCTCGCTAGGTTTTAAATGTCGCGCATTACAATGGAATAATCAATGCGTTGGAAAACATAGTTGCAGTGGGAAGCTTATAATCGACGGTGCCTGTACGCTTCGAACAATAAGAGGTAAAAATTCTAGCAACCGATCGACGTCCATTGCGTCGAGGAACAATCAAGCGACCATTCCCGAATAATCGCCGGAATATCGGCGAGGGGACACGGAAATAGCTGCTCGCCACGGAAGAGCTTCTTAAACGCGGAAAGAAATCAATACGGCCGACTTCTTCGACGGTTCGTCTTTTAATAAGGTTCTTCCCTCCCCGGGATCTTCTTATTTCGAGCGGGACGCGTTCGTCATGGTCAAAAACGATGGTTAAACTTTCACGCCTATCGGCAACCGGTTCAACAAACGGGGTCGATGCCATTGTCTATTCATTAACTTCGTTTTAACGGGAGAATCACGTGTGTGTGTATTTACACACGATGCGAATCGCTCGGAAGCTAATGCGGTTAGGTCGATTTTTTGTGGATTTTCATGGAATAAGTAATATTCTTTCGTCCATTTTACTTTCTATCTTATATTGTCCGATTAATCAGTTCGGTTTTGTATTTCCTTTCGTTGAAGTTTCTACTGAACAAATCTTCGTATTTTTCATCAAATCGACAAATCGACAATCTTAAAAGCCAATATATTCCTTTTAATTATTAAATGAGGAGAGAAAAAATACTTTACATACTTTTCTGATCAAATGAACAAACCAACAATTTTAAAAACCAATGTATCAGAAAACAATCGTTCTCTCGATGTCTGTTTTCTAGACTTAACCACATTGGCTTCTTTGCGACTTCTATACACACAAGCATTACCTGCCCACATACAATCACCGATCGAATTTTTCTATCGCGAGAACTCATGTCCGAAAACTTTAATAGAATATGTAATATTCTTTTTAATTATTAAATGAAGAAAGAGAAAATACTTCACACACTTCCCTGATCAAATTAACAAACCAATGTTTGAAAAACATTCATTCTCTCAATGTCCGTTTTCTAGACTTAACCACATTGGCTTCTTCGCTTCCATATACACACACACATTACACCTGCACGCACACATGCACATCGACCGATCGAATTTTTCTATCGCGAGCGCGGACTCGTTTCACCTCGTTGTTAAGTGAAACGTTAATTAGCGCGGTAATCGATCAGGGATTACACCCCGCCGCCCCCTCCTTCTGCCCCTTTCTTTTTACCCCCGCGGCCGGTCAACTTAATCCGCAGGTTGCTGCGTGGCGCCGGTAATTGCACCCCTCCCCCGCGTTTTCGACCTTGTTTCGTCGGTAATCCCCGCCCGCCGAGCGAACTATACTTTCGGCGACCGAAGTGGTCGGGATTTAGATGCGATCGCGTGGCCCCCGCAGCAGCCAGCCAGCTCGGTTTCTATTTTAATGCCGGCGGAAGCCTCGATTGTTCGGGGGTGCCGATCGGGGGCGGCGAGCCGTCTGGAATTTATTTCGACGAGTTGTCCGAGTGGAACTCCGATTATCCGATTTAATCGGCTGATTAATCGTCTGGGCAAACGGGGACTGAAAGAATTCTAAAGCGTACTCGCGAACGATCGTACGGTTTCAATTTGATAAGCCAGGATATCTCGCGAGGCATTAAAGTCGTACGGTGCGAATGGTTTCTTCATTTAGTCTCCTCAAACGCAATTGCGAGTGCACTAGTCGATTAATCGGAATGTCTACTGTGAAACGGTGTTACTGTATTTATACCGGAAATTGATTGGTTCAGATACTTTAACCCTTTGCTGAAGAACGTCGACATTTAGAGATGAAATTTTCGAATTTCGAAGACTAAGTCTCAAAGGACCGATTTAATTATTTGAACAGCAAGAGATCAGCATATTGGAATAAAATAGAACTAGTAACAAGTTCGCTAATTAGCAGAGCGTTGAAAAATATATTAAATTCCACTAAAATATATTACATAACAATATGATAGATCTGAAAATTGCCATTCGCACAAATGTTTTCCGAAAATTAGCCGATACGGTATTAATGCTAAAACCATCAGACGAACGAAAATAACCTCGTTTTCATCGGTTAATAATTATTAAAAAGGTAACAGATGTTTCTTTAAGAAATTATTCGAGAAATTGATTCACCAGTAAACTCAATTATGAATCAATTGGAGTCTCGGTAGATTTACTCCTCAAGTTTATAGAGGAATTTGAGTGACTCTAACTGCTCGGCAGGTTTAGCGTTAATTGAATAGTTCCCCGACAAAGCGTGCGTATATCCTATACAGCGTGTCGCACGCGTGACTATAGAGCACGCATCGGATGAGACGATGTAACAAGGTGTCGCAATTCGATAGGAGTATCTTGTACAAAGGAAGGTGTCGCGACCTGTCCCAGCGGGCCGGATAAACCGCGTAGCTGGAAACAAAACGACGTATCTACTACTGACAGCGCGCCTCCGCCGCGACAACGAAAAATTTCGCCGTTGTGCGCCGCGTCTCGCGTCCCCCGGGCTTTCCCACCTGTTTCCTCCTGTCTGCGTTAACTCGCAGATAACGGCTGAACGGATGCCACTGTCCGACGTCGAGATTTTCGTAATTATCTCGGAGAACGGAGGGCAACCCGTGTCACGGGGAAGATTTGTAGATTAATCTAGTAGAAACCGAGGTTGTTCGTTGTGTATTAACCCTCAGCACTGCAGGTTGTTTTGTAATACAGCAACTGCAACTAATTTGTATAGTATTCCTAGCGAAAATGAGAAATGCTATAACATTTCTTCGACCTTTTGTTTTCCTTAGTACAAAATTCGGATGCGCGGAAAATCTAATAATTTCATTCGATATTATTAATTTGGTAGTTTCTTTAAGATTCATTGAAACGTTTAATATTATAAGTGGTACAATATTGAAGCCTAGAGAGTTCAAAGGGTTAAAATAAAAGATCATTTCGCTATCAATCACCTTCGAAGTAGATTCCAAAGGCAGAAGTTAAATCGATGAATAATTAGTTCGACATGGAAGCTATGAAAGTATTCGTTGACATTTAACATATATCACAGCCTGCCATGTTCGTTACAGAATTGTTCAAAGCTTCATGTATCCATTAATCATAACGTCGACGGATAAGCATCGTCGAACGAACGTACACGAATCGTTAGAGCAAGGCCCGCTGCTTCCTTCGAGCTTCCAACCCTTGCTTCGACTCGAGTCTTAGTTGCAAGCCAACAACCCCCTGAAAACCTTTCGCGTACGACTCAGAAATAGTCCACTGGATAGACAATTCCGCTGCCCCTAGAGTTCACCCTTTCACGAACGATGCATTCAGGCGTCCTCTCCCCAGGCCAGCCCCCCCCACGCCCGACCGGAACCTCGGACACCTCTTTCTTCCCGAAGCAACCCCCGTCCGCGCTAATTAATTCTGGACCACGTTGACAGGCGGCGGTGGCACAAGTTCAGCCACCCCGGGAGCAATAGTAAACGAGTGGGGCTAAACAGAAAACAGCGTCGCGCGTTGGAGGGGAGGAATCGGGTCTCGCGAGCCGCCGCGACCCCCCGGGCCATAAAATTCCACGTTCGGCCGGAGACCGCATAGCGGGAAGCCTCCGAACCCCCACTACTCAGCCGCCTTCTACTCCTCGGGTGGAGTAGAATCTCGACCTACGCTCAGTTCAGGTGTTGCGGCCGCTTCCGGCCAAACATTCGCAGACGATCCGTGAATTCGCGGCGGAAGCGAGCCGGCGAGGGGCGGACGGTGACGGAAAGCGAAGGAGACGCGGGTGTCGCGACGGAACGAAAGAGAAGTTTGGGCGTATGCGGCCGCCCTCTCCGTTTCACCTTCGGAGCCTCGTTTCACCCTTCCGCCGGAGCACCCTCTCCGTTCGCCGTTCTCCCTCTTTCTTCATCTTTTCACCGCGGGTATCTCTGTCCCGCCCGTTGCCTCCGTCTCGCTCGTCCACCCCCGTGAAATCGACGTTGCGCGTTTATCGAACGACTGCGCGCGCACCGATAACGGGGATGGGGCGTGCGAAGTGTTGGTTGGTCGCAGAGGAGGCGGCGGTGGACGAACGCACGTAAACGGACACGGACGGCTGGAAAACGAGCGAGCCGTGCGAGCGAGCGAGCGAGCGAGCGTGCGAGCGACGACGGGGACGTCGACGAAGACCACGACCACGACGACGAGGACGGTGACGACGACGACGACGACGACGACGACGACGACGACGACGACGGCGGCGGCGGACACGGGAGCTAGCCAACCACCAGACGCGAACCGGAGCTCTCGCCGCGCGAGCCGCGCACACGGTGTGCCAACGCTTTTCCCTCCGGCTGTTCTCTCGTTCTGGCGAACGCCGCTCTCTCGTCCCCCTCGGTTGCCTTCGTTGTCAACAAACCCGCCGATCCTCGCGTGTGTGTCCGCGGAGCGTGCACGCACCGTCGGCCCACGTTTACCCTGCGCGAGCTGGCGAAAGGGTGGAGGAGGACGCGCTGGCAGGCCGCGGTGGAGTCGCAGCCGCGAGACGGTGCAGTTGATCGGAAGAAGGGGTGGTAAACAAAAGGGAGGACCTTCGACGCGCCGCCGTGACGAGTGACGGATAGTGAGCGGATTACTCCGTTGTTCCGCGGTTGTGCGGGCTACGAAGCAACAAAATCGCCTCTGGCCGAGATTCGTCCGGAATATATTGACCAGTGATCGCAACAGTGCCATCGGTAGTGCATCGGGAGTGTGCTGTCGCAACGGAGGCTGGTTTCCGGGGAGTCGTAAGGAGCGGAGGATTAGAGTTGTCCCTCGAGTAAACGAGGAGCGAACCGAGGAGAGAGAGAGAGTCCAAGGAGAGAAGAGAGAGAGAAAAAGAGAGAGAGAATATCCTATCGAGTGTTGCCGTATTTTCGTTCACCTGGTTCGTCCTCCCTCCGAGTGGCGGAGGGCGGTGAAGGCATCGATCGCTCGCCATTTTGCCCGAGCACCGACATCTTCTCCACGCATCGGCGACATTTTCCCCTCGTGGCTGGCCGCCGCGGACGAGACGCTTCTCGCGGATCGACGGGGGCGGGCGATTTTCGTGATCGGCTCGCTTCTCGCGGTTCGCTGGTTCCCGCGTGGATCGTTCGCTTATTGATCAACGGCTGACGGCGACGGGGAGAAGATTTCCCTGTCGAGGAGTGGCCGCGCGTCGATCGCGTCGAGGGAACGTTCGTTGATCGGGCAAGAATCAGAGAAGACAGAGGAAGGAAGGAGGACCGCCGCGGCCGTAGAACGAGGAGGAGGAGGCGGAGGAGCAGGTAAAGGGGGAGGAAGGCTCGTTCAGGTCGAAGTTAGAAGTCAGCAGGCTGGGAGGTCGGCTGAGCGAGGTGGTGGGTCCCGTCGTGGAGGAGGCCATCGAGCCAGGGGATGCGACCCCGCTGACGGGACCCCCGAGGGAGTCCTCGGTTCCTCGAGCACCCCCGCCGCCACCGCAGCGCGTCACCACACCGAGTCCGCCGAGACCTCCGCCCACTACGTCCCAGCAAGCCCAGAATCCGGGTCATCAGGCCCAGGAGTCCACCTCGGACGCCCAGAATCCGGGCCACCAGGCCCAGAAGCCCTCGGGCCATCAGGCCCAATCCAACCCCGGCCAGCAGACCCAGAATCCAGGCCACCAGACCCAGAACCCCGGACAACAGTCCGCGAATCCTGCTCATCAGACGCAGAACCCCGGTCATCAGGAGAAGGATCATCAGCAGGTGAGCCAGGGACAGCAAACGCAGAATCCTGGTCATCCAGCTCCGGTGAGTCGCCAGGCGAGCCAGAATCCTACTCACCAGGCGACCCAGACGCAGCAATCTTCGTTGCAGCAGCAACACTCTCAATCTCAGCAGCAGCAGCAGCAGCAGCAGCAGGAGCATCGTTCCAGCAGCATGGGTACCGTGTTGTCGTTCAGCCCGCGTGACAGGCGCAGCTCGGTGTTCCCGCCAGCGGGGCACCAGCACCCCGCCGATTTCACGTTGAACAATTTTAATTACGAACAGCTGAACAACGCGAAGAACCGCGAGAACAAGAGCAGCGTCGCTACGGTGGCGCCGGCGCCGCCCACGGGTCACCCGCCTACGAACAATAACTCGTTACAGAACAATAATATCAATTTGAACAATAACGATAACGCGAGGATCATCTCCGAGAAGAATGCGCTCGAGAAGAACCTGAAGAAGCACTCGTTGTTCATAAACGCGCTCTCGTGGAAGCGGTTCAGCACCGCGAACAACAACAAGAAGAAGTTCGACAACAAGAAGAACACCTTGTTCAGGCAGCCACTCGATAATATACCCATCGTCGACCAAAATAAGAACATACAGACGCCCCAGGTGAGCGAGTCTTCCGTACGCTATAGGACGGTTAACGAAATCAATGCATCGGTCGTATGTCCCTCGATTATTCGATTACCTCGGGCAGGCTCCACCGAACTCGTTTATCCGAACTGCTCGATCGTTCGAATCGTCTTGGTCTCGATTTGTTCGGGTAATCGAGCTTCCGCTGTACTCTCGTTTCTCCTACCGTTCGAAAACCCCCATGAAACTCGAAAGTAATCGCGAATGTTACTTCACTCGTAACTAATTCTACACCAATCGCTTCCTATATATACGAAGAAATCCGAATTTCAAAGTACAACCAAATTCTTTGCGTTTTCCGCTGCGGACAGATGAAAATCCAGTTCCCCGACACACGTGTATCTAATCTCAGGTCCCCCCACGTGTCAAACGCCACGGCAGTGTCCCATTTTCGTCAAAGCCTCGAGCCACCGTCTTCAAAGTCCTACGCTGGCGACGTGAAAGGTGCTTTGACCCCGAGGCACGATCGAAAGCGTATATCGATCCCCCTCGTGTTTCCCTTCGCGTTTTTACAGGCACACGCGTGCCTCTAACCCTCGCGAGGAATTCTCGAGAAGCTACGCTAGCCCGGGCAGCGAGGCTTCGATTCTCGTCGGCGCGACCCGTCGAGGATTTCGAGGCGGAGTCTCGTTGACGGTTGATATCCTTCGAATATGTTAATTTGTAAATGTTCTATTGGCACAGACGAAGCCGCCCGCGTCGAACAACAATCATACAACGCACAACCCGACGTGCGAGAAGCTCGTGCAGAAGCCGCTGCCCCCCGGCCCAAGGAAAACTGTGATCCAAGCGTCGACTTCGGAATTGCTCAAGTGCCTCGGCGTCTTCCTTCACAGGAAGTGCACCCGTTTAAGAGACTTCCGGGTCAACGACGCCGTCATGTGGTTGAAAGCCGTCGACAAGAGTCTGCTGTTTCAAGGCTGGCAGGTGAGTTGCCCACCGTTTCCTAGATCAACGGGTCTCACCTGTGAACTTTCGGGTTCAACCGGAAAGAGGATAGCACTGTCTCGCGGCGCGACGTAATCGTAAACAAAATGTTTATCAGAGTTCACCGTATGGCAAAGTTTTCAGCAGATCGGCTGGTCGCGTCTACTTAACACTAGGTTTACGGGCATTTATTGTACACTTCATTCTATTATTCCTAAAAGAATTGCTCGTTTATTTAGATTGTGGAAACTGGAGATTCGATAGTAGGTAATTGGGGTACACGTCAGTGTGATCGCATCAATAAAAATCGGCGTAAACATTTACAGAATAATATTTCTGAAATCCAATATGCGTCAATTTGACGCGTTCCGTAAACCTAGTGTTAACCAGTTAATTGTGGAATTTAGAAAAACCTCTCGTTCTGCACGCAATAAAATCGAAAAATGGAGAGAATATTTTAATGAAAGATCTAAGCGAAACAAAGAATTACATGTTTATTTGAAAAAATAAAGAATTCATCGCTGGAAGAGTTAGCATCGTGTCAAGCTTTACGATGACGTGTATACTCGTCAAACACAGTTACTGCTTAACGTGTGTCAGCCCTTTGCACTCGAATGTTCGATGGAAATATTCGGTTTTCGATGGGTTTCACAAGTCCACTTGAGAATAATTAATGAGGACGACACGTGAATTAAGCAGCAACTGTTTCAATTATACGGAGCTTATTATGAGTCGCTCGGCAGCCAATGTTCAGCCTATTTTTGATACTCTGATTGTAAATTTTAATGGAGTAAATAATATTCTTTCAGTTATTCAAGGATTCACTTTCTTCGTTTTTCCTATGTTAGAAACTTTTATAGCTTTTCATAGCTTCTGAGTATGTTATAGCAAAATGTTAACCGTTTGCAGGCGAAGATCCTTTGAAACGCAGGAAACCTTCAGCAGACGAAGCTAAATTACAATTGCTTAAACAACAGAAAAAACAGAAACTACATTCTAATCTCTTGTTCGAGTAATTAAATCATTCAATTCTTTCCTACACTTAACTGGATAATCTCCCGAGCGACTCGTATACAACACTCATTTAGCTACGTCAAACGGCAACTCGAAGTGCAAAGGGCTGCACCATTCGATATCCCGAAGCCAACGAAGTTCCACGTTCGCACGAAAACCGATGTCACCGAAATTCATCCTGCAACTCTTAAACAGTCCTACATAGCTGATAAGGGAAGCATTCGCCGTTCGACTCACAGTCGACTGGTTCTTAATGTTTAACGAAGGAACAGCCCGCTGAACTTCGTCCAAACACTTTATCGGGACACGATAATGCTAGTCGACGGTAAAGATCGAACCGTCGCTCGACACATAGATTAATAATAAATTGACGAACGGTATTAGCGGTAGTTGGCGAGCAAGCAGCTGATGAGACGCGGACCCGTCCGCGTTCGATAACGGCCCGGTCAATTAACGATAACGCGATAATTAATATTTATCCTCCGCGATGTAGTCGGTATCCGATTAAGGCTTATCACCCGAGTACCCGTGATAGTAACTTAATTAACGGCGGATTCGCTTTGTTGACGGTGCGCTGCGCCGCGACGCGACGCGGCGCGATGCGACGCCGCCGCTGTTGCTCGTTGCATAACGATCACCGTGGAGCACGCCGGGAAACAAAAGTTCGCCAGACCGTTCTAATTGAAAGCGTGCTTCCGCCGGCCCGGAAAAAAATCGGCCCCGATCGTCGGCCGTCCATTTCTGAGTCGATGCACATCGGTCTAAAGTGGCGGGAGCCCGCTCTTACTTGTTAGGCGGAACGAGATCCGCACGCGTCGGGTACCGAACACCGTGAGCACCCTCGACTCCTCTCTCTTGTCGGACTCTTCCGCGCTGTATCGAGGGTGCAGCCACAGTCTGGCTAAAAAGTTTCGGCTCCGCGATCCGGCGGCTGCCTATGCAACGCGCCGCGAGAATATTCGGCCGCTCGTGTTTGATCGGTGATCAGTTTAGCTTCTTCAGCGTGTAGGATGATAATAGGTGCTCGAGGTTTTGTGTGGCTGAAGTTTTTTCGAGTTGACTCGATGGCAGGGAAGTTTACAGTTTAACGAAGTTGTGGCTGAGCTTTGTTATTGTTGCGTTGTCCTTATTGTGCAACGATTGCTCGCGACCGTTGCGAGGAGTTAGGTAATATTGCGCAAGGGCGAGAGGGAGCTTGGGTTGACAACTGCGGATTATTGGAATATGAGGAATCAAGTTCTTCGGTGTCTGAGTTTGTGGACCTGATTGGGTGCTTGTTTCATGGTGTTTGGGAAATTCGATTTTTTTTGTATACTTTTAGTCGTTGTGATACCAATTAGCTGGGATAATTGGTAACTTGGTATCAGTTGAAGAGTTAGTTATTTGTTATTTCTTTGTGATGTTGTCGTGACTTAGTAAGATAATTTACTGTAACTCATTAAGTTATAACTCGAGACTCCAATGGCTTAACGACTCGATAACTTAGTGACTCATTATAACTTAACAACCTAGTATAACATAATAACTCTACAACTCACAGCACAACATCCCAAAAATCAACAAACCACCAAACAATTCCACTACATCCCCACACCAAACCATACTAATTCCTTAACTCTAATAATCTCTTCCATTACTTTCCCGTATAACCATAACTTAACATACCTCATCACAACTCATCAACCTCCAACAACATAACAACATAACAACTCTCAATACAACATCCCAGCAACCAACAAAACAAAAAAAATTTCCATTACTCATCCCCAACCAATCCTACATCTCCACACCAAACCCTAATTCCTTAACTCTAATAATCTCTTCCATTACTTTCCCATATACCCATAACTTAACATACCTCATCACCAACCTACTACACCATAACAGCTCCCAACACAACCCCGCAACAACCGACAAAACACCAGCAAGCAGTTCCATTACCATTCACCCTTCAATCCCGAATCCCAAGCTCACGCAAAATTCGCCTGACCATCGATCACGATCGGCCAATCGGACACGGTGCCCGATAAATACGTCATCCGACAACTGGGTGAACGGTCCCGAACTCTTGAGCGTCAGTGTATGCGCGGCGTCGCGGTGACCCGAGGGAATAACGCGGCTCGTAATGAGTGCCGCCGGGGGCGCGTTAGTCACAATATGTCACGAAGGGAATCAAGAGAGCCAGCGCGCCGCTACTTTTCGCGGAACGAACGAGACACCGGGTGTCTCCATTTACTCCCATCCATATGCCACTCGCCGGAACGATGAACCGAGCCGTCCTCGGCCGGTGCAGCGTGCACCGTGCGCCGTGCATGTGCGGGACGAAGGACGGCCATCGATCAAGCGCCCCGTATCGCGGTTTCCCTATGAATTTCGTTTCGATTCCGCCCGGCGAATTTCGCGTTTATGCTAATACCCGACGGGGCTGCGGCTTATGCAAATTACGCTCCTCCCCCGTCCCCGCCCGCGGCGCGATCGAACTCGAGAGCTCGCGTTTCCACCGAACAATAAAAAAAGAAGAGAAAGAGACGGCGACATCGATCCGACTCGGACATTCCGCTTTTTTTTTCTGGGTTAAGGTGAAATCGGTTTTATTATTTATAATTTCATTTCACGGCGGCTCGAGGCCGCCCGTTAATCATTCGCGGATTTTTAACGAGCTTTCGCCGTTCTAAGCCTTCGGAGCAGCCGGATTTATGTGTCAAGCCGTTAAACGACGAGAGACGAGCACGACGGACGACGAGCGACCAGGAACGGGGGAACCGATTTTATTCGAACGATCATGTTACTCGCGACTTTGCTGGTGTGAACGTGTTAACTGGCGGGTTCGCTGGGAATATTCAACAGTTGAAACTAATTAACGAGGACGCGCGTGGATTTGGAGAGAGTTGTATAGGTTATAATTCCGCTACGTCAAGACGATACAAAGATTTGATGGACTAAAAATGAAGAGGACTAAGTTTACAGAATCCATCAGTTTGACGAGTGTTTTAAACATTTAGCAGCAGTCGGAGTCATTGCAATTGTGCGAATGCACTATACTAGTTCGGAAGCTTCAATATTCGCGATATAAATAATTACAGTGCCAATTATGCGCAGAACAAACGTCCGTGAATCTGGTGTTAAAGGGTTTCCATGGTTTCGTCAACGTCCTCGAACGTTCCGATTACTGGCAATGATTCCTCGAACCGTCTCGGGGGCGGGTGTCGCGGCGTGTCGTCGAAAAAAGTTCCCCGTGACACGGGTAGACTCTGACCTTATTTCTCGGCCGGGAGTTTTCCGGGAATCGGAAGCTGGCAACTCCCTCGGCCACTTCAAACATTCAGCGGCGTTTACGTCATCCGAAATCCCTTGCGAGAGATGGCGTAATCCGTCGACTATAATGAATATCTCGACGGATTGTGATCAAGAGCCGACCAGATATATCCCTGGGACCACATCGATTCGTCTTCTGCCCCTTTCATCCGGGGGATCCTGATGCGCCTCGAGTCTCGCAGCGATCAGTAGTGGATGTCTCTATTGGATCAGACTCGTCCTTCTTACGTCGGGCGGCTCGATTCGAGGGATGTCCCGGAGAGACCTCGAGATTTACAATGCTCGCGTGGTCTGGCGTAAGTAAGTAACCGTTTCGAGCTCCGGATTTATCCTGGCGCCTCGAGGAACAAGCGATCTCGAATTTTCGTCGCGAAACAATCGCCGGAAACGAAGCAGGCGCGGCGAATTTGCCGCTATTGTTCCAACGACGCGAATTTTCGCGACCGTTCGACACACAATTATGTGCTCGTCTGCGTTTTGTCGCCTTTAGGCCGCGTCGTGTCGACTTTAGGTTGCGCTTGTCGCCTTTAAATCGTGTTGCGTCGCTTTTAGGTTGCGTTTGTTGCGCTCGAATCGCCTTGTGTCGCGTTTAGGTCGTATTGTGCTGGGTTTCGATGCGTTGTGTCGCCTTCAGATCGCGTTGTATCGACTTCAGATTGCGTTTGTCGCCT